TCCAGCTTCTAGTGACGGCCACGCAATGTTCAGGGTTCAGAGTTCTGGGTTTGGGGTTTTGGGCTTTGAGGTCAGGATTTTCTGTTCAGAGTTTTATGGATGTTTGCGCAACAGGTAAGCATGTCTGCGAACAATGGCACAATGCTGGCCAAGGGTGTAGCATTTCGATGCTTTGTGGTCTAAAGTATAAAAATAGTTGTAGGATACTAACGTGCGAGTCTCAGAAAAAGGGACCCTAAACAGGATCCCTAATTCTAAGCTTGCTTGAACACCAGCGGGCCTTCGGTCCATCTCAAACGCCAACAGCAACGAAGGCTCTTAGGGTTTAGGGTTGGATTAGGGTTTAGGAGTTAGCAGGCTTTTTATCGGGGCCTCTATGAGGGCTCTGTAGAGGTCTGAAGTATGGGGCTTCTGGCGCTGGGTTTCAGGATCTTGGGGCAGAAGCAATCAGCAGCCCGGGACCCTAATCCGCACACAACCGAAACCTCACCCGGGTAGGTTCGTGCGCCGTTCCATGCCCCCTCCGAGCCTGGCAGCATTTCGCCCCGTTCCCTTGCCGAATCGCCCCATGAAAATTATTATGGGTCGAATCGCATGCCGAATTTAACGTGTCGCTTCAATCGGTCATCTGCCACCCGCGTGGCTACTGGTTCGATCCGAAGATGAGAATGAACGTCGCCGGCGTTGAAGTGCTCTATGGATCCCAGTTTAGGGGTTTAGGGTTTAGGCTTAGGGCACAAAGCCTGCTGCATTCCAAGTTCGTGTCGCCAAAGCCTAAACCCTATGTTAGCCGGGTCAGCCGTATGCTGATGCACCTGCCTCTAAAAAGGGTTTGGGGTTTAGAGTTTAGGGTTTAGGGGCTTGCCCTCAAAGTATATGCTGCGCCCTTACCCTTTACACTCCTGAACCCCTAAGCCCTAAGCCACTGAAAAGGTAAACCCCAAACCCCCAACCCCTCAAGAAGCCCTACACGCTAAACCCTCATCCCTAAACCCTAAATCCAACCCCTCAAGCTGAAGAGCCAATGGCACTGAAGGCTGGATGCAACCTGACAATTAGGGTGTATGTATGTATATATATATATGTGTATATATATTTATTTATTTATATTTATATTTATATTTATATTTATATTTATATTTATATTTATATTTATATTTATACAGGGCTTAGGGTGTAGGGTGAAGAACACGAAATCCTCCAACCCGAGACGCTGGATGGTAGGGATCTGAAGATTATACTCCTTCGGCGTACTAATTGAGTGTAATATTTCTGCAAAACCGAACTATTAAACAGTCTTGGCCGTATATCAGCATTAATGTTCTGAATGGATCTTGGGGAAGTGAGCGGGTAAGCCTAAACCCTAAACCCTAGCAAGCTGCCTATGGGGCTAAGGGCTTGAAGTTAAAGGTTGAACCTTTGTCCCATTTACGCGCTTAGAGAGACCCAAAAGCAGGGTAACCCAACAAATGCACCCTCGAATCCACTCATGACCTTATTTTCAAAGTTCCTTGAACCCCTCAGTAAGCCATAAGAACCCCTAAACATAGAGCAGAAATGCCCACCGAAGCCTCGACAAGCCGAAGGCCAGAACCATTGAAGTTCAAGGTGCGATTCGAGAAACTAGGGTTCAAGGTTTAGGGTTTATGGTTTAGGGCTTAGGGTTTATGGTTTCGGGTTTAGGGTTTAGGGTTTAAGGTTCAGGGTTTAGGGTTTAAGGTTTAGGGTACACAGGGTTTAGGGTATATATTTGTAAAGCGCCGGCCGGAGACGCTCCCATTGTGGCGCAATTCTACATGCCCCCGTTTCCGTGGTTCGCCTGCTGTCTCAACTGCAGTATTGCATCACCAGTCCAAAGCTCCCCCCAACCGCTGGCCCACTTTAGGGTTTCATGTAGGAACCTGATTAAGAAACCCTGGCCCTATAACCCCAATATAGTAGGATTCATATAGGTTGAATCAAAGGCAAAGGGGCTGAGGGTTTAGGAAGAAGTCTGGTCAAGCTACGCGTCCCTGCATCAGACCCCAACGTGTCCGTGGATTCACTTCCACCCAGTTAAGTCCGAATGCCTGGAATCAAGGATGCCGTAACCAAACCCTAAATCCCAATAAAGCAACCGTTGCACGCTTTAGACGAGGCTCGGGTTTTGGGAGCCAACCACCTGTTTAGGGTTTAGGAGTTTAGGGTGGAGACCCAAATTATACTAACCCTAAACCCTAATTAGTGCTTGTGGAGTTTTTGGGGCCAGGCGGGGGAAGCCGGGATTTCATGCAACGCTGCAGATATTTTCGCTCTTGGGAGCGCGAGAGAACAGCTAGGCCTTCCTGGGGCAGCCCCCTTACGGGTTTAGGCCATGATGTAAGCATCTCGATCGTCATGAGTACGCAGTGGTTACCCTACCAAAACCCCTTTTTTGTGTTGAGTATTGGTCCATATAAACTCCATACTCGGTTTTTTTAAATTAGAACCTACAACAAAGGCAGAATGTCTGGTAGATTAAGGTAAAGAGTATCTGCATCCATTCAGGGATCGTGAAGTCCCTTCTTGCAGCTAGCGTTTCGCCTCCGAGGTTCGATCCATGCGGCTCTTGCCCTAAGCTTCAACGCATCTCCTGTGGGGTTGGGAGGGGGGGGGGGTTTAGGGTTTAGGGTTTAGGGTAGGGAATCGGGTTTAGGGTTTAGGGTAGGGTTTCGGGTTTATGGGGTTTAGATTTGGGTTTAGGGTCTAGGGAGTTCGATCACAGATCAGTGTCCCTGCAGAGCTTTCTGCCTCGACGGGCTTAGCGATTGTGGTTTGGAGTATGGCCGCTGCTGATGCCAATCCTCAGCTCTCAATCCATGTCACTCTTTCGGACACCTAGGTTCAAGAACTTGTTGCTGCATAGTCTCCTTTGTAGTTCCTTTTTTGGCTTATCCGTTTCATCTTACAGCATCCTAACCATAAACATTGGCTTACCAAAAAAGGGACTGCAATGGAGACTGTAGGTAGGTCAGAAAAGTCGAAACGGGTGAGGAATTGAGGGTCCTATGATGCTGCATCAGTGAATGCTCACTCGGAATGCCGCCTTTTACTAAGCCCTAAGGGGTTTAAGGTTCAGGGCTAAACCCCAGGCATTTGACACTGAGACCTAAACCGTATAAGCTTTACCTCCTACGGCCCTAAACCCTGAACCTCTGACTAACCTTGACCATTCGATGCCGTGATGGAACCGAGAGTGGCCTCAGCTGCTAAAGACGTCTGGAGACATCGTGTGCCTGCATGAGAAGGATGCGCAGGGCTCGACTCGTTTTCACCTCTGAACAGCTTGCGGGTATGGGTTTACATACCCCTTCACCCTAAACCCAAAAACCCAAACGTGTCCTTTAAACCCTCAAACACCTGAAATGCTGCGGTTTTCCGGGCACAATAGCATTCGATGAGTAATTGAACCTGTCTCAGACCATGATACCATTAACTCTCTGGTTTCATCCCGTGGTTTTGCATGTTGCCACGAACGGTATTATGCTTTTGTGTTTCTTATTTGGGGGCTTGGGGCTTGATTCAGACAGTTCCATTTTTGTAGCTTTGGGAAGTGTTACCCCATAAACATGTTTGCTACAGGTCAGCGCTATGCAATTTACACGCTGAAGCCCAAAACCGCAATTCATGACAGAAGCTACCCCAATAGTCCCTCCATTGAGAATTCAGGTCCCTGTGTTGCAGAGTTCGGACACGCCTGAAGCTTTGCACCACGAGGTTCTTTGGGGCTCAACAGGGGGTATTAGGTTTAGGGTTTAGGGAGGTTTAGGGTTTAGGGACTGTAACGAAATTCCTGCCGAAGTCGATGCTAATGCTGATGAACGCATTACCCATCCATAATCGAGTTCCGCAAGGCAATACGTGTTGTCCACCGGCCATATGTCCCTAAAGCCCTAAAGCATAAACCCCTAAACCCCCCACTAAACCCTAAACCTTAAAGCCCCAAACCCTGAACCCCATAGCGCCCCAACTCGGAGTGGACCTGTACAAGACAGAATCAAGCAGCTTGTAGATGTGTAGTTCTCTGCATTGGGGTCTCTTTGTAAGTCCCGAAACTAGTACGGCACACTTACATAAAAGGGACCCTGATTTGGAGAACATGTCTACGTTTTAGGGATGTAGGCTTTCTCTTGTTGACTTTACTGTATGATTCGACGCTGCCTCCGGTTGTTTAGTTTGCTCTCTTGGAGTTTGTGTCTGTGGGTGCGGCTCTCGGTTCGGCCCTGGGGGTTCTGGCTGGGTTAATATGGGGGCCTTAATAATTAGAGGAGGGTTTGGGGTATATTATACTATGACTATAATAAGGAACCCCCAAAACCCAATTCTAATTATTAAGGCCCCTACATCAGGCGGAGCTGCAAAAGGATTCAATACACAGCCACGGCATGTGACTTGAAGGCTTTGTCCGGGAGGCACTTGAGACAACTGTCTGGAACAAAATGTCGGCTACTCAGCAGGCAATGCCACGTGGCATCCGTCGCCGCTGGCATCCACATTTTATCCTGATAATAAGATACCACAACCGCAGAGAAGCGTGATTCAGCAAACGCCGGCCGAAGTCGGCAAATCGAGTCAGCAAAATGCCGGCTCCGAGTCAGCAACGGCACGGCTGCATGTCGAAAACCAGGGCCCCCAAAGTCAGAAACAGCAGAGCCGAAAATCAGAAACGTGCAGAGCTCGCTTATGCAAACCCGCTGCAGCCCACGCTTTGCAGTGCACCGTAAACCTGAAAGCCCTAACTTATGCTCGAAACCCCAAATTGGTCCCCATGCACGATTCCATGCCTTGCATTGCTGCTGGACTTCTGCCTGGGCTGCTGCGGCTACCGCCACTTCTGCGAGGCCGGCCTGGAGGGTTTAGGGACTTTAAATGTGAAGAGAACGCATCAGTCGCAGTATGCACAACTGCTGGCGGTTCAGTGCTCTTCTTGCACAGAGCATCTTTCGGCTCCTGCTCTGTACGTCTTTTCCTCCCTCGAATGCATGGCGGGATCATTGTCCGACGATGATCTTGAAAGCGTGCCGACTCCTCGGCCAGTCGCGACGGCTACGGCTGAGGACAGCGATGATGATACTTTTCAAGCCACTGGGACGACAGCAAGTCAAGATGAAGGCGACAGCGACGCAGACACACCAGCTGCAAATGCATGGGACCATGCATCCGCTGTAGCCCCGACGTGGCCAGGTCCTTTCGGCTTCCCGACACATTCCTCGAGCCAAGGGAAAGAGGACTTGGAAGATGGAAGCAATCATGCCAACACTGGCCATCCGCAGTTCCTGTCCACGCATGCTGTTCATGACGGTTGCAATCCAGCACATCCAGCAGCGCAGCCCTCGGAAGTTACGGCGGGTCATGACAGCTGTCAACACTTGCCGCCTCACTCTAACTGGCCTCGAATCGCACTTGCCGCAACCATGGAGAGTCAAGTCGTTCGACGGGCGGCCGTGGAGACTTTGGCCTGGTGCATTGCAGGACAGCTCATTTCCGCAACTGTCCCGAGGACATTACGGTGGATCACGTCGCACACAGAGGCAGAGTTGTGGCAGCTGCTCCGAGGGATTGCCCGAGGTCGAGACGATGGACTGCCTGCCAACCTGTCCCTTGCAGAATTGGCTAGTTTGAGAGAGGAAGCGCACGCGTGCTTTCAAAGGGGGTTCAGGCGCCTGGCCTTGCAGACTACGCCCGGAGAACTGGGGCAGCTCCACCGCCTCGTCATGTGCGTGGAACGCGAGCTTGAAGATCTCGAGGAACAGTCTGCTCTTGGAATGTGCAGGTTGCTTGTATACTAGCTTTGGATTCCTGTCTTGTACTGCCTACCATTTGCCGAGCATGCCGTTGCGGACGGAGCCCGCCCTTTTGCATCACGGCGATTCTGCCCGAGAGATTCTCGCCTCATTTTGCGTGCGTCTTATACTGCTTGTCATTTAGCCGACCGTGCCGTCGCGGACGGTGCTCCTTCTCTTGCATGATGGCGATTCTGCGCGAGAGATTCCATTTTGCACGCCGTCGACTGTACAGACACAGAGTCTGGCGTCATTTTGCGTGCTGGAAAGTGCTTCGAAACGCGGAATGCTATACAGTGCTCTGCTCACGGCCTTCAATTTGCCCCTTATCGACAGGCTTTCTCCTGCTGAAGCCGGATGCCTCCAGGCTCGCATGCAGCGGTTTCAGGCCGCGTGGAGTCCGTAGCCTTTAACGTTGTCTACTCGGGAAGAATGGATGATCGGAGCCTTCAGGAGGCTGGGGTCCCTGTTTCATCTGCTCTCATGCCATGAAAGATGGAAGCCTGGAGTTACTCGAACAGGTTGGGGCCGTGTTCTTTCGAGGTGTCAGAGTAGGCCGGTATCTTGACGTGAAAGAACGGCTCTTCCGGGGGTCCTAGGGGGGGTTCTTTTGCTGTTCTGCGCTTTGCTTGCTGGTCGGGCTGATTCGGGAAGTCTAAACCGTTACATCCCTCGAAAGCCGACTGTTGGCCGACTTGTCCATGCGGCCCGTCATGCACAATGCTCTGGATTCGCTTCCTCCTGGTTCTGAATCGCCTGGCGAAATGCTAGAGTGCTCTGCTCGCGGGTTTCAAAGTGCCCCTTGTTCCAGGCCATGGGGGATGCCTCCAGGCCATGGGGGACGCCTCCAGGATTGCGCGCAGCGGTTTCGGGCCCTGTGGAGTCGGTAGCCGAAGTTAATCGACAAGGTTCCGGGGCCCTGTTCTTTCGAGGTGTCAGACTGGGCCGGTATCGTGACGTGAAAGAACGGGTGATTGAAGGCTTCCCAGGATCCCCGTGGTTTTCTTTTGCTGTTCTGCTGAGCCCTGAGCCTTATATAAGCACCCGACACCCTCAACCCTGTATTATACACACCCCAAGCCCCGAAAACCTGAACCCTCAACGCGGGGGGGCTCGATGCTGCTTGGCCCTGTGTTCTGACCGCGTCGCTGCCTTGCTGTCAGGTGGTGTTACATCCGGCTGCCTCTTGCTTTCGCTGCCAGCCTGGAGCTTTACGAAGGCTCGGGCGTCGTGCTGTAAGTCGCTTGTTTCGAGTAGACCACGGCAGCCAAAGAATGGAATTTGATCGGAATTTGATGCACTCCTTAGCTTCCTCAGCTCTTGGCTTGACAGAGTGGTTTCTTAGTGTTTTGCTCGTGATCCGGTCGTGATCCGGTCTTTGCCAATGGCTGCGGGTCAGTGGACTGAAGTCTCGCGTTCTGCCCTTCCTGCGAACTTCGAGGTTGGCTGGTCGGCCATGGAGACCCTCGCAGCCGCGTGGGCGCATGACAGGAACATCATTTGCAGGCAGGTGCGTGGTCGCTCCCACACCATCTATGCATATTGCATGGCTCATGAGAACTGCCGCGTCTCTTGGAGACACACCTTCACTGACAGGCAGCACGAAGTTCATAGCAAGCATGAGCCCGCAGAGCAGCCCCGGCTGGTGCGCGGAAGGCCCGTGGCTGTCCGCAGCCAGTGTCGCGCTTTGGCTGTGGATACGCCACTCCAAGCCATGCGCTCGCTCGTGGACTCGGCTGCATTGCTCCGCAGTACGGGCCAGCGCGTGCAGACGTTCTCAGGTACTAAGTGAGCCCCGGCACTTGCTTGGACATATAAGTGCATTGCAAGTAGATTATATTCCACTTGTAAGAAGGTCGTAAGTCCAATGTGGACTTATAAGTATACGTGAAAACGTGGCTACATATAAGTAGG